GGCCAGCAGTGAAGGACCACGTCTCAGTTCCGAATGTCATCACTGGCAACACGCACTGGGTGTACAGTCTCGTTTTCAAGTTTTGAGGTATACCTGACGAGAAGATGTGCCGTAATTTCCCGAACGCTGCCCAACCGAGTTGAATCCGTCGATTGACCTCTCGGTCGAAGTTGGACTTACCTAGTCGGACTATTTGTCCCAGGTAAACATACTCGTCAACAACTTCGAGCTTAGTGTTCCCAACAACTACCGGCATAGGTGTGACATGGACATTAAACATGATCTTTGTTTTGTCCATGTTCATCTTAAGACCTATCCGTTGGGAAACACTATTGAGGTCATTGAGCATAGTGCTTAGGTCCTCCAGCGATTCTGCCATAAGGACTATATCGTCGGCAAATCGAAGGTGAGTGATGTACTCGCCATTGATGTTGATACCGTATCCTTTCCAGTCCAGAAGCTTGAAAACATCTTCCAATGCAGCGGTAAAGAGTTTCGGGGATATGACGTCACCCTGTCTTACACCTCTCTTCGAGCTTAGTGCTTAACAACTACCGGCATAGATGTGACATGGACATTACACATGATCTTTGTTTTGTCCGTGTTCACCTATCCATTGGGAGACACTATTGAGGTCATTGAGCATAGTACTTAGGTCTTCCAGCGATTCTGCCATAAAGACTATATCGTCGGCAAATCGAAGGTGAGTGATGTACTCGCCGTTGATGTTAATACCGTATCCTTTCCAGTCCAGTAGCTTGAAAACGTCTTCCAATGCAGCGGTGTAGAGTTTCGGGAATATAACGTCACCCTGTCTTACACCTTTCTGCAGTTGGACAGGTTTTGTACTCTGGTACTGTACTCGGATAACCATCGTAGCTCTACTGTACAAACACTTCAGCACTTGCGATATACCGACAGTAAACTTGGCACCGCTGAAGGAACTATAGCACCGCCCAAATTTCGACGGAATCAAAGGCTTACCATACACAGCATCACCTTATTGCGTGTTAATCCGGGTTTCGCTACAGTCTGTGGAGCTTGACTACCCTTTGACCATGATCTTTTTCGCACGTTCTTGTCGTAGGTGATCATCCACTTTTCATCACCAGTGATCAATCTTTTCAAAAATGGTTCGGTTTCATTACGATTCAATAGACAGTCGCAAATGAGTACACGATTCAATAGGTTTCTTTCAGTGAGCTTATGTGGTACCCAAATATCGAGCTTTTTTGTATAGCCAGACTTTTTCAAATGATTTAAAACTGTTTTGTGGTCAATCCTCAATTCATCAGCTATGTTGCAACTACTAATATGCCGACTTTATCCGTATGAGGGCGACCAGAGCGAGTTGCATCTTTGACATCAAAATTCCCGGACTGAAAACGCTAGAACCAACTTTGTGCTACTCTTACTGACATTGCATTAAATCCATCAACGTAACAATTTTTTTCGCGGTTTGTCGCATTTTTCCCTTTTTTGTAATAAAACTTCAGAATGTATCGAATTTCTTTGTTAGATTCACTCATTTTGGCGGAAGGAAAAACAATTGAAAAATGGCGCGAAAGTGTTTCTTTTTATTTTACTTTTTTTTAATGTCCTATATGTATTGATTTTAAAATCAGCCAGATAAAAACAGTACAACCAAAAAGATTAGTCTTCAATTTTATACAAAAAAAAATAAGAAGAAACTTTTTCCCCGACTTATTTTTTATTATGTAATATATGTAGAATAAAATGTAAAATAATTTTAAAACTTGGTAATAATATAACAAATAAACCCTACAATTAACTCCTGACCTCTCTGCGTTGGTCTCATCTCCTGCAGTTTAGTTTTCTGAAGGTTTCACTTCTACTGCTTGTGAACGGCACACATGTTTTTTTTTTCGTTTTCGTAAATAACTTAACCGCTGGTAGATTGCTATTCCTGTTATATCGTTTAAATAATGGTTTCAAGTAGGTTTTGATATGTAAGTTGTGCGATTTTGTGATTTAATATAATGTCAACGCAAATGTAAATTTATAGACATAAGATTAATTTCTTATTATTTGGCACTGGAAAAAGTACAATAGTACGAAACAAAACGTTATTCCCACACTAGGATTTTCTCCTGTATCATCGAAACAGCTAAACCAGGAACAATTATTGGTAGATCATACAAATACTTGTTCCGTGCAGGATTCGAAACCGCGTCCCCTGGCGCCGCAACTCAATGTCGAACCACTGTGTCATGGCACCGTCCCTTAAGCAGCGCCGCTGACGGACGTGCTGTGAAACATTTATTAACCACTTTGGTCGACTTGTTTCCCTCGAGACTCCTGACCCCAGTACACTTCTCTTCTCACTCATTACACTTCTCAAACAGAAGACTTTCTCGTTCACGGAGAAAAATATTTATTATGTATTTATTTCCCAACTAGCAACACGCCCTAGCTTCGCTTGGATGGGACCTATTAATGTCGCGTTGTTTAGTTTTACGATAATCAAAGACCAATTGTTCTATCAATTTTTCGTTTTCTCAAAACAACTCCCAAGGTTTTCGGATAAAATATAGCTTAGACTACTCCTGGCATTGCTTTCTATGGGTTCGTGAAGTCTCATTAGAATTGGCTCAGCCATTTCGAAGATTAGCTCGGACAGGCAGACAAAAAATTATAATAAACGGTTATTCATGTTTTAATGGCATGAAAGTAATCCCTTCAGCTCAATATAGGGCATTTATTTTTGTATTAATGACAGACACTTCAATTTTATTTATATGTACAGACACTTCCCACATACTTCAATCGATTAACATCACACACCTACATGCAGCCCATCAAAAGTCCACCGCTGAAAACAGACCGCCATGGATTGCCATAGAATGACATATGCCACTCTTGACTGGCGGGTTGGTAAACATACTCGTAGTTTTTTGTTGTTTACCAATCCGCCGCGCCGGCCAAGCGTACTTTGCTGCCCATCTCCTGTTAGTGTTTCCCTTTGTCACCTCTTACGACATCCATCGGGATGATATGTAAACACTGTAAATGGATGAAAAAATTGTAAGAAAAGAATGTCTTAATTCTCTTCATACAATTTTGAACATTAACATATGATAAATGTAATTTAATTATATACTACATTTTTCTTTATTCTACAAATTACATATACATTTGCTTTTAACTTTTAGATTGGAAATGCTGTACCGCCGCCCCTTGGAGCTGCACTGGGTCGAGAAATTAAAAAAGCGCTAAGCATATCACAAAAAGGATAGACTGAAGATAGAATATGTTTGAGCAAATTTTTCAACCGTGTTCACTTTTGCCTTAAAACTTTTTGACGTTCCAAATATACATGTGTTAAACCTTTCTAATATACATGCTGTTACATAGAAAATTTTTTTAATTCATTTGTATTTGTCCTTAACACCTTTAACTTTAGTATGATTGTCTTTAATTACGCCAATGGGCATCTCCTAGTTGGATAATTTATTTTAGAATTCCAACTACTGTGGCTTTCAACTGGCAACAAGTCCAATTCCATAGACAAGTTGTGTACAACAATGCCTATATTTAAAAAAAAAACGTTACCCCCACACTATGACTTTCTCCTGTATCGTAGAGACAGTTTACAAACAAATTGCACAAGGACAAACATCCAGACCCCGAACAATTACTTGTAGGCCATACAAATACTTGTTCCATGCGGGATTCGAACCCGCGGCCCCCAGCGCAGCAACTCATTGCTAAGTCACTGCGCGACGGAGCCGTCAAATTTATTATAATTTAGTTTTTTCCAGATTCATTAAATATTTTAATTTCATATTATGATAATTTATTCAAATGAGCACACAGTCCACCGGATGAAACATACTTCTATTCTTAAATAAGAATCAAAATGAGGACGTGTTGTCACCCTTGTGTACTAAGAATGGCTCGTTACAAGAAGTGTTTTCAGTTCTCTACATTCGCCATAAGAAACAGCAGCATAAATAAAGCTGCTATTTTACCCTAGTAGGATCCTTTCTATAGGATCCTTCAATAGTCAAACGACACAGATGTGAGTCCCCGCTCGGGTCAGCCCATTTGTACTGCAGCGTGGCTTTATCACGCATTATAAACATTTTACAGCAGTGAAGTATATAAGGGACAATTTATTTCCCACTTTCATTCTAAAAATATTGTTGCTGGCCCGAACTCTTTCCATCGGGGATACACATGTATATGTTACTGTAAAAGCTAGAATTACGGTAAATTCTAAGATTTTGCAGTAAAACTTAAGATTTACCAAGTCCATAAGGTAAAAGTCCGAAGTGTTCTTTGGTAATCGTTTATTTCGGACTTTTACAAGCATTCACTCAGTAAATCTTAGTTTTTACCTCTAAGACACGGTAAATGTTGAAATATAGTCGTCTAGACGTGTTCGGCGCATTATCGTTCTTGCGAACAGTGTGCAGCCCTCCGATACCTGTGTCACCCTCTGTTTTTATTTTGAGATTGCAATGTCTCCGGCGCTGCGGGAAGAGCAGCCTCTACGCCTTTGCGTAACAAATCGTAGGCATCAGACGAGCCGGAGCGGCTGAGGCTGGTCGCCGAAGGCGACCAACAAGACGAAGCTGCGCAGGCAAGGAGGAGGATATTATGCTTATTAATATTTTATTTGTCTTCTTGGGATAAACCCGATAAGACAAATTATATTAATTATGATTATTAATATATTCAATATTGAAATTTAATTTATATATTATATCATTATTGTATGCTCTATGGTGACGTGTGCGCGGAGAATCCATCATCCCAACTATTTAGTAATGTTAAATGAGATTATAGGAAAACCTACATAAATGTTATGGCTAAGGCCATGGGCCTCTTCCGTTATAAGTACAATTTATCACTAAACAAGACTGCAACCCCTTTTATGCTGCTCTCTGGGAATTTTACAACTGGCATAAACGAGTTTATGTTACTTTAATTTTGTGATTCCTGTATGTTACTTACAAAATAAAAATTAGGGAATATTACTTTTTATTTTTTATTACACCTTTTGTCTTTCTTTTAATGTTTTTCACTAAAACACTTAGTTCTGCATCTTCTCTAGATTTTTTTGCTTCAGTATTAAGTTGGATAGGTGCATCAACCGGGCGTCGCTTTAATTTTTCCTGAATTAATTTCTCCATATTCTTAGTTTTCTTAAAGTTTGGATCGCTAGGATCAATGTTAAACAGGTGGGAGTTATAAATTGCATTAAAACGTTGATCATTTAGGTTTATTTCAAAGTCCGGTATGGACTCTTTTTGTTCTTTAATCTTGTCCTTTAACTTCCTTTTTCTTTTTGATTTCTTACTGTTATTTTCTGATTCTTGTATTTTCTTTAGGCTAAAGTGTTGTTTTCCATCATCTTCGTCGTCTAACAATAATTCCAACTCTGCTTTTCTTCTTTCGTCGTCCTCATCTATTTCATGTTCGTTTTTATTATCTTCATTTATTTTCTTAACTTTTTTCTTCTTAAATTCAGCCTTATTAAATTCTTCAGCAAAGTACGGATCATTCATGTCAACATCGGAAGGAATATCATCAGATCCATCCTCATCAGAATGTGTTGATACATTCTCTTCCTTTTGTTTGTTTTGTAGTTTACGTTGTTTTTTCTTTTCTTTGCGTTTTTGTAGAAGTTTTTCGAAGGGGGTCATGTTTTTGTTATCTGAAAAATTCAGAAAATATGTTGAATACAAAATACAATTACACCAAAAATGAAAGAGAGTGCCACCCTCAATTTTTTATTATTTCATTCATTCATTTCAATTTTCTGCCATATTTTAGATCGGGTCTACTACTCATACTACCAACTTGATATTTAGTGATTATTTTCACCACCACACCATTTCAAAAACAGTAAAATCGTACTCTACATCTCGCTTCCTTATACGGCTATAGGTCGTCTACACTACGTCAGAAGGGGTCGTGAGAAAAATCTTACTCTTTTTCTCGCCTAGCCCCCATCCGCCAAATTCGTACCGTCCGATAAGGAACTTCGTTCCAAAAGCAAAAGGCGGTAGATAGATGTTGTTACGTCAACATAAAAAAGCAAAAGCATAATGACATTATATTACCTTCACTGAGTTTCTTCTGCACTAATTCTTCAGCTTTATCTTTTATTCCTAGACCCCAAGTTATTTCCATTTCCATGTCTTTATTTTGTTTTTTCTCTTCCTTTTTTTCGATGTCTTGTAACAACATTTTATACTTTTGAATAGGGTCGTCATTTTCGGACATGCCGCCTTCTTGGGAATCATGTTCTTCATCAGATGGGTTCACGTCATCTGTCAACCAACCAAATATTTTTATATGATATAAACTACTCCTGTAGAAATAGTGGAAAGCAAAAAGCAAATGAACAATTCATTTTAACAACAATATAGTTTTAACTTAGTTGGAATTTTTTACTTGAAATCTGAATCCTATGTCGAAGTTGGAATCCCGATATTGTAGTTAAAATTGTCTTATTATTAAAAACAGAAATTTTATAAGTACGGACCGAATTTACAAGAGATAAACTAACTACTATTACTAACTGCGTAAAACTGACTATAAATTAATAAAGAACTCGCTTATACATGTCTTTATGGAGGGTGCCTGCAATGCGGCCTTGTACCTCGGAAAGTAGGAGTCAGATCAAACGGACTCTGTTTTGCGGAGATCAGACAGGCCTGCATTTTGGCGGCTTTGACAGTGATCAGATTGTCGTCACCTCATTGGGAGGTCACTTAAGGTAGTATTTATCCGCTCCACCACGGCCACCGTACCGGCCACCACGTATTACTGCCCCTTCGTCTTTTGCACTGGACATGAATCTCTTAGTGATTGTGCTGTCATATGCATACCCAACAGTCGCAGAGAGAATGGACCCCTTAGGAACTCCGGCATTAATATGCATTTTAGGTCAGAAGAGCAATCATCTATGACTACCCTGATCAACCTTTCATTCAGAAAGTGAGATATCCAGTTGTGAAATTCGGCGGGGATACCGAAAGCAGGAAGCTTACTCAGCAGACTTGCGTGCCAAACCCAAAAACCTTCGAGATAGCGAGTGAAACTGCTAGAGTTTCACCGTTCTGCTCGATGGCTTTGCCCCAGAAGTGCGTGACATACACAAGAGGACCGGCGGAAGCCATATTAATAGTTACTGAGGAGGTCATTTGTTTCAAGGTATGTCAGCAGGTCACTGTTCAATGCCCTTTCCATAACTTTACAGAGTATGGAGGTGATGGCGATTTGTCGATAATAACAGGGATCGGTGCAAGTACCCTTCTTGGGTTTAGATTTTTAAGAGAGGCGGTACAAGCGCTTCAGGAGACAACTCAGGCGCACAATGCTTTAGTACCATTGCAGGAATACCATCAGGTCCACTGGCTTTGTTCACGTCTAGGTTTTGAAAAGATCTACGTATTTCTTTCCTATGGATAGCGACCTTCGGTATCGAAGAATCATAGCTAGGTAGGGTTGGCGGTTGTTTAGAACCAGCATCTAGACGAGAATTGCTTGCAAACAGGTTTCTGCATGGGTGGCAATCAGGGACGACAGAATTTAGATTCGACAGCCTTTGACAGTGAACATAATTGCTTGCTATCAGGAGGGTAGGAAGCAAGTCTGGCCCCTATATGACTAACATGGTCGAATCGCGCCTTACGGAGAACCCGCTTGCAAAACTTTGCAGCAGAATTAAAAGCTCTGTTCTTCGCACGAACTCTCCGATCCCTAACATTGTGATCGCGAGCTAGAACCCATGCCCGATGGGCGGACTCTTTGCGGACCTCAACACGAACACAGTCCGCATTATATCAGGACCGAGCCTTGTGCCGAGTTAGCCTGCCGTATCACATCCGCAACCTATTTGCCTATTGGGTGTAGGTCCGGCTACGTTTGGTACCCGCGTCGCTACTTGAACTAGCTGAGTGAAATCTAGCGATAACGCAAGTTTGCGCGCCTCTCCCAGCATGGTCGGTTTTCTCGTATGGGAACAACCACTCTTTGTGGTGGACGTTAAAATTCTCGAGAAAAACTAGCTCCGCAGACTGATACCGTTGTTGAACTTTATCTGCCATCCCTGCCAGTGTTCAATTAGCCTGGTCGTCAACTGGTTTCATAGAGGGTTGTCTTTACACCGGTGTCCACAAAAAGCCACATTGCAGAAAACCCTGAAACCTCAAAGCAACGGAGACGCCGACAGCAAATGTCGTAGCGGACGTTCACACGGATCCCAGCGCGCTGTTTAAAGTTATGTTCAAGCCTATAACCTGGGTAGTTGAGGTAGGCCACATCAGACGGAGTTGCTATCTGCGTTTCCGTTAAGAAGGTGCGGCTTCTTGGTCTCGAGGTGGTGGTGGACCGGATAGCAATATTCGAATATTCTCAGATCAGTTGACATACGAGTAGATTATGTTTTTTGTATTAATTAGAAAGTTATTTAGTTAATTATGTTTATCTACTGAGCGTCATAAACGATTTAAAGAAAAATTTGCGAAAATCAAATCATATGCTTGATATTACAAAATATACTTTACGCGTGGCACTGACGATTGACGGATTTATTAGTAAAATTACCAAACACCACGCGGATTATATAAAATAAAAACTGTTTATTTAAAATTAGTAGTATTTGATAGTTCCATAATATGCCGATAAAAATATATACTAAAAATGTCAATGATGTCTTCGACTTCGTTCACCAATTATACTTTTTTTTTCGACGTTAAAAAAGACAAAAAAGAATTTAAACTTCTCTTTGAAACCAAAGTCGACGTACCAAATGTTCGGTTTCAAATTGCATTTAAAATATACAACACATTTTAATTTGTTTTACATCTGTGTTCTCTGGAACAATTAGCATTAAAACAAGATTTGAGTGCTCGGTAGCGCTAGAAGTCAGTATTAGAGCCGCGGGTTTGAAATCCGCACGGAACAAGTATTTGTATAGCCTCCAAATAATTGATCGAGGTTTATCCATGTGCGAATTATGTTTGTAAAACGCCAAATAAAATCCTGGTGATAATCTTAGTAGGCAGCTTTACAGAAAATATTCCTGAATAAGGTAAAAGAGACATACCTTCACTACTAGAAGCCAAATAATCTTTAAGATCTAAGTCATCTATCTTTCCATCCAAAGCACTTTTGATTGCTTCAGTGCGATTGGGATTTGTTGCGTCCCACGTCAATTGCACCTTAGCTTGCTGTAAGGCGGTAGTTGTGAACAGACGTGGTTTGTACCTTGTTAAGTCCGGTAGCTTCGTACACTCCTCCCTCGGTTCCTGTAGTAGTTGACATTATTTCAAAATGTAATCTAATTATTTAAATAAAACGGTAATTTTTACTGATAGTACATTAATCCAAATTTAAAACAACCAATCACTAAGCCAAATCGTAATTTAAGTTAAATTAGCAAATTCTGAGGTGTCGTAAGATCCGACAGAGGAAAACAAACCAGCGTCTTCCTAATAAGAACTAAAAATAAAATTTTAAATGCACTTGTTAACCCACCACTCGAGGAAATAATCCTACGAGGCGATCTGAGGGAGAGGCCTATGTTCAGCAGTGGATTTTTAAGTCTGTAACGGTAGCATACAAATCCTTTTTTCCATGCCATAAACGTGAGCTTATGAACAATTTAATGATAGACTACAATTATATGCAATTAATAATTATGGGTGTAGTGTTGCCAACTTAACGGATTTTCAGTCAAATCGGAAAGAATAGTGTAATAATTTTAGATCGGATGTCAATTGTAATCAATTGTATAATATTTATGTCATAAAGATTCCAGGATTTGGGTAAGGTTTAGAATCAAGTCGCCTGAATTTGGGGGTGGTGGGGGGGAGGGGGAGGGGTGTTGTAGAGTCACCTCCCACTTCCATTTCCTGCCGGACGTGCTTAGTTTTTTTTATAAATTTTTAAAAATCTCATTTTGAGGTTATGTTTTCGTAATGTTTTTGACAATATAAACCTAATTTGTGGGGGCAGAGAGTTGGGGGAGAGTAGCCCAACGCCACTCCTATTTCTGGATGGTTTATAAAAAAATAACCACGAAGGGGATGGAGGGGTCTGTTCGCTCGCTTCGCTCACTCGACCGTCATCCCCTTCTAACCTAACCTGTCCGAATCGGAGTGACCGAAGTCCAGAGCTCGCTTCACTCGCTCTTGCACCAAATAAAACACCAAAATGTTAACTTCCACCATTTCCAAAAACGTCGTAAAATAGCAAGCAATCAGTCTCCAGAGGGGTAGCGAAGTCGTCCGAAAACAGGGGGCAGATAATAACAATAAGGAGCACATTCACGTAAACTCGGAAGCAACGGAATGACGCTTATGACGCGAGTCGCGAAGTCGAGTATAAACGTAGTGATTATATTCTCTTTGGGCGAGTATATCTGTTACTGTCAATGTCAAAAGTTCCGTTTAAGCTATTAATTAGCGATTTATGAATATTTTTAGAAAATTATATTAAATATTTCGACGCAGCTCCAGCAGCTAAAATTGCATGGGGGAGAGATAAGCCCCCCCCCCCCCCCACAGTGACAGTTGATTCTAAACCCAACCCCAGGATTTTTCCCAAGTTGATTATTACAACTAAGGTTCACCAACTTTTGTGTAAAAACACTAACTTTTGATGTTCAAGTCTGAACTTTCCGCTTCTTAATCACCAAAGCCTGATTTTGATCCTATCTTTCTAACATGGGTAGACCTAACTTTAGACATTGCCTGTATAAGTCTTTATTTCCTATCAACTTATGACAGTCAGACGGTGCCACTCACGCTCCCATCGCGGTTGCGATCTGCAGCTTGCCGCTGTGTTTGACACTATAGGTCGGCCGATTGGTCTTTTTTTGCATCCTACCCTTGGGGGCGGGTTTGCTTCTCGCTGGAAGATCCCAGCATTGTTGCCGATTCTGTTGCTGATGTGGTACTTCAGAGTATGGAACTTTTTATTCCATCCTCTGTGGTGCCCATCGGAGGCAGATCCCAGCCATGGTTTGGTCGCTCCTGTAAAATAGCATCAGGCTATAAGCAGGAGTGCTACCGGGCTTGGGCTGACGCATCAACGTCTCGGGATGTAAACACCAGCGCACTTCAAAAGAAGTATAATTTCTACTCCAGGTCCTTCAAAAGCGTCATTGCCAAGGCAAAGTCTGAGCACATCGGCAGAATTGGCGAGAAGCTAGTTCGCATTCCTTCGAGAACCCGTGCATTCTGGTCTCTCGCCAAGGCTGTCCAAGGAAACTTCTATCAGCCATCTCTTCCATCTCTGCACAGAGAGGACGACTCACTGGCCCATGCCGCAAAAGAGAAAGCCGATCTTTTAAGCTCTCTCTTTGCGTCCAACTCGACAACACCGCTGACCATCCCGTGCTCCATGCCGGATGTGCGATTTACACAGGGCTCGGTTCGTAAAGCACTCTTCTCCCTGGACGTCAGCAAGTCGAGTGGGCCTGATCTAGTCCTTCCCATTGTGCTGAATACGTGTGCTCCGGAGAGATGGGCGGAAGCAGTAGAGTCCAAGGGGGAGGCATTGGCCATTAGTTTGGACATAGCGAAGGCCTTCGATCGCGCCTGGCACAAAGTGCTTCTATCGTAGCTTCCTTCCTATGGGCTTCCGGAGAAATTGTGCAAATGGATCACCAGTTTCCTTGCTGATCGGAGCATCAAGGTCGTAGTAGACGCTGCATGCTCTGATTTCAAGCCTATCAGCGGTGGTGTTCCATAAGGCTGCGTGCTATCACCAACGCTGTTTCTCCTGCATATCAATAATATATTGCAAACTGGTAACATTCATTGCTATGCAGACGACAGCACTGGTGAAGCCTTATATACCGGCCGTGCCAATATTTCTCGGGAAAACGTCGCCGAGTACCGGGACAAACTTGTCAGTCAATTATATATACAGTGCAAATAATATTGTCAATGCAATATGGTCAAAATCAGCCAGAATTCAACAAATTTTTTTAGATATACACAACAATGAAATGCTATATTTTTGTCTATGTGCATATTTGCGAACCTGATCAAATGTGACGTCATCAGGTATAAATCGCATATCGAGCCTTGTGGCACTACTCTCATACTCCATGCCATCACATTCGCTGTATAACTTGTCAGCCGTCGCCACGGAATCACACTCAACAACAGCATAGTAATATTTAAGCCTGTTCAATTGATAACGACGGAGCTTCTCCATGTGATATGATGAGCCTGAAAATCATATTAATTATTAAAATAGTATTTTAGCTTATATTATATGCTTAATTGTGACTCTCTTAGACAACACAATGCTCATTCCCAAGCCTATTAAAATATATACATAAAAAAAATTGATAACATAATACATAAACCTTGACTTATAAATAAATATTTTTTTTATTCTGGTATTGAAATGTTATAGATAAATCAATTCATCTTTAATATTATTGGTAACTTTTACCTATATAGACACATCGTATGAAAAGTCATATAAACATATAATATCAGAGAAGAATATTATTATTTGTAGGTACTTTATAATTTTATAAGCAGTCCGTTTGACTGTCCCTGTTACTGTTGAGGTCCTGAATTCGAATATCAAAAAATCAATTCTGCGATTTTTCTGAATTTCATGAAACTCAGTAGCAGCCTGGAGTTAGGTCCGAAATATTAAGTAATTAATTAAAGTTGTCAAAAAATTACTTTGCCTACATCCGCACGATAAAATAAAATGATGTGTCTTACCTAGTTTGAAGAGCACCTCCCGCCCTCCCTCAATTGCGTACACTATCCCCGTCACCACTAATCCCAGCACCACTACTCCCAACACCACTACACTAGGCAAGACACACCACTGACGACAATACGACACGTGTTTCGCCTCTACACGAGGCATCCTCAGGTGATATAGACTCTACGGTGGCTAACCGCTAAGTGAGCGGCGAGCGGCTTCAAACTAGGTAAGACACATCATTTTATTTTAAAGTGCGGATGTACGCAAAGTAACTCCCGATTCTATTAATTAAAGTAATTAATTTCCTGATGAAGACAAATGTTGTAGTAATAAACAAAATTTTATAAAAGAAAAAATTTGGATACACTACTCGTGTTATATCCAATTATTGATATAACGGATATAATAAAAAAAAATCAGAGTTTTAAAAACCCTACACATAATATGCCTACTACTATTCAGTGACGGATAGAAAAAAATGGCAGCGGGATGCGATTCATCCAATAGTGAACACAATACTAGGACTACTTAAAAAGCATTTAGCTTTATGAGGTATATTTTTAAATTTTTATACAAATATTAAAAATTATAATAATATTCATAATATTTATAAAAATTATTTTAGATGTGTATCGGCTTTTCGGTATGCTAAAAAAAGAATCTTCTTTATAGGAATATACATATTAAATTACCTTCTTCATTTCCACCATCATCTGATTGCTCATCAATTTTTTCTTCAGTTAGCTCAATAGGTCCACGTACCTCCTCTTCTTTAATTCTTTTTAATCCATACTCTGAAGGATATATCTACAAAAATCGTATAAAATATGTGTTTTAATATATTACAAGCATCAATTTCGTACGATTTATGCCTTTGTAATTACATTGTGCCGTAGCGATTAGTAATAAGTATATAATCAGATAAATGATATTAATGTAGCTCAGTATTAAATGCATCTTCAAACTGCAAACATCATTATTATTTACCAAGTCCCGTCCTTACAACATAGAATGCACCAACCAAACAGTAACTATTGTTACCACTTAAGTCTGAATTGTTATGAGGGGTTTACTGACAGGATTTTTTACTAAAAACATTGACAAATAGGATAAATATAATTAATAGAATCAGGCGTTACTTTTCGGAAATCCATTATATAAAAGCTTTTAGAAAAATTTACTTCGCAAATATCCTCGTTATAAAATAAAATGATGTGTCTTACCTAGTATGAAGAGCACCTCCCGCCCTCACTCAATTGCGTGCACTATCCCCGTCACCACTAATCCCAGCACCGCTACTCTCAACACCACTACACCAGGCAAGAAACACCACTGACAATAATACGACACGTGTTTCGCCTCTACACGAGGCATCCTCAGGTGATATAGACTCTACGGTGGCTAACCGCTAAGTGACCGGCGAGCCAAAACAAGTGCCTTTTATACAGACCGATGACGCAACCGCTCTCTACTTAAGGAGCTAGCGACTGCGTCATGCGATAAAACATGCGACCAATCACCGCCGGACTTACGCAGCCGTTTGTAAAATTAAAAACAAACCGCCGCGCAACGCCCACCCTCCAACCACGCAACCAATCGCCGATCACCGTGAGGGTGACAAACGACCATATTGCGAGGCTCTCTATTATTAGAGAGCAGGCTTAAAGATATTTAAGAGAGGTGAGTTAGTAACATTTGTTTGTTCATTCAGCAATGCAACAGTACTATTATTACTTTTTAATATCTCTTACTGTTCCAGCACACACAGCCGCCGCCCTTTATTACACGTATGTAAGACTTTAAATGAGTGGTCGTTGGCTAGGTTGTGTACAGTGTCCAAAAGATGTTTGGCAACCAAAATATGTCTTACATACCTCTAATAAAGGGCTGCGGCTGTGTGTGCAGGAACAGTTTGAGATATTAAAAAGTAATAATAGTACCGTTGCATTGCTGAATGAACAAACAAATGTTACTAACTCACCTCTCTTAAATATCTTTAAGCCTGCTCTCTAATAATAGAGAGCCTCGCAATATGGTCGTTTGTCACTCTCACGGTGATCGGCGATTGGTTGCGTGGTTGGAGGATGGGCGTTGCGCGGCGGTTTGTTTTTAATTTTACAAACGGCTGCGTAAGTCCGGCGGTGATTGGTCGCATGTTTTATCGCATGACGCAGTCGCTAGCTCCTTAAGTAGAGAGCGGTTGCGTCATCGGTCTGTATAAAAGGCACTTGTTTTGGCTCGCCGGTCACTTAGCGGTTAGCCACCGTAGAGTCTATATCACCTGAGGATGCCTCGTGTAGAGGCGAAACACGTGTCGTATTATTGTCAGTGGTGTTTCTTGCCTAGTGTAGTGGTGTTAAGAGTAGCGGTGCTGGGATTAGTGGTGACGGGGATAGTGCATGCAATTGAGGGAGGGCGGGAGGTGCTCTTCATACTAGGTAAGCCACATCATTTTATTTTATCGAGCGGATGTAAGCGAGGTAACTTTTTAAAAGCTTTAATAGTGTTCATATTAGATGGCTTTGTGGGAAGAAAACGAGAGGCTCAGCTATCAACCTAGTCGAGGTCAGACCTGCGTACACAATGCCTCTACACGAGGCATCTTCGGGTGATGTAGACTCTGCAGTGACTGACTGTTAAGATTTGACTTAGCGAACCATAGACAGGTTAAACCAATCTCCCTACTTCTGCAGCCATTTGGTTGAGTCTGCAATTAATGCTGATGTCATGCCTATCAAAGGCTATGCAACTAATGGATGTAACACAATCGCAGGATTCTGAGGTGGCGACGAAGAATTTCTACTCAAACACCAAACTGCAATTGTCGTCACTATATAATCAGTATTCTGTATGGCAGGATAGCATTGATGAGATGAAAAAAGTTTTCAGCAGATATACGAAGATCATACTATATTATGTTTGCTGTCATCATTTTCCTGCTTATTAGTGCCCAGCAATAAATTTAGAAGTGAAAAGACGACAGAGGGAAACTGAACCAGGATATGGACAGCAGCATATTTCTGATAACAGCTGATTAAAAATAACAAACTGCGGTTATGTAAAAAGAACGCTGGAAGAAAGTGGAGGGGGTGTGTTTGCGCATGGGTACACTCGCGCACGAAAATACAGTGCCCATTGTTTTATTTTGAACTAGCCTTTCGCTCGCGGCTTCGTATATTGGTTATTGGTTATTGTATATTGAAAAATATATTAGATAGAAAATCATTAAATAGAATTAAAAACATGTTTGATTCAGTGTTGAATGTTTTTTTTTTAAGATTAAGGGTGACATACGAGCACACAGTCCACCTGATGGTAAGTGGTTGCTGTGGCCCATAGACATCTTCAGCTATCTTCGATTCCGAATTAAAATGCAGATGCGTTGTCAGGCGTGAGGACTAAGATAGAATGCCTCTTTACCAGTAAAAAGGGTTTCCAGTTCTCTACACTCACCATACGAAATACAGCAGCATTAAGCTGGTATTCTGTGAGAGCGTAGTCCTCCCCCGGTCGAGCCGACCCATTCGTGCTACAACTATACTATTGATACCACGTTTAATCTAATTACAAAAAAAAGTAAGTAATGTGAAAACCAGATGAGGACGCGGTGTTGGTGCTAGAGATGGCCATTTTATCGTCGTCGCTGTTGTCACTTGAGCTTTCATCCTCATTTCAGTCAGAATCATGATTTCTTCAAATTCAATTTCTTTTCTACCGACTTCAAAAAGGAGACGGTACTCAATTCGACGGTATGTTTTTTTTTTTTTATGTGTACCTCATAACATTTTTCTGGTGAACCGATTTGGATGATTCTTAATTTATTTGAAAGCTGGTCCCATATAAATTTGATCAAGGTCTGACCTTTAGTTTTTGAGTTATTCTTAATAACTTATATTGAAGTCGGATGTACAACATTTTTAATTTTTAATTATTGACGGAGCCAGGTTTGTTTGTCTGCTTTCTTTGTATTAGACATTGTTGCAGCACCGAGTTGTTTGTTGTAGTACGATGCATTGTTGAATTAGGCGGTAAATTCGGAATCAGTTTAGTACGGAGCCACCGTTCGTAACTCTCCGAATGCATGTTGTCGTAGTCGTGTCGGTAGTCGCCGCTTTTTGTACCGGCTTTGAACGCCAGCAAAGCATTCGGCACAAAACCTGCTTCACTACTCGCGTGCACTATGACCAAGCGGCTATCTTTATATAAGAGGGTTTTCAATGCATTTGGTGGGACCGCCTCACTATGGGAAAGCCGTCTCATAACTATTTTTAACGAAAGTCGTTGTTACGTGATGAAATTTATAAATTAATATACTAAATATACTGGGTTTTTCAACAAGAACTTTGTTTTTCAATTGGGGCAACACCAAAAACATGACAGCTTTGACATTTAGTTTTTTGACCTATTCGTAGTAGATGCTTTGGCAATTGCTACAATGAATTCAATTTCGCTCGAAAATCGCATTAAAATAATTAAAATCCACTATAAAATGGTGGTTCTGTTAAAGTTACGTTTCGTAAAATTCGTGATATTTTCGGACAACATAATCGTCCTTCTGAGACCGCTATTAAGAATTTGGTCGCTAAATTTGAATCGACAGGCTCGGTACAAAATGCGCCAACACCAACGCGTGTTCGACGGGGTCGTTCAACCGAAAACATCGCAGCCGTGAGCCGCAGTGTTGAAGAAGATCCAAATTTGTCAATTCCTCGACGTTCTCAACAATTGGGGTTATCCAAAACCACCACATGGCGAATTTTGCGTAAGGATTTGACTTTGAAGCCTTACAAGGTTCAACTGGTGCAGGAATTGAAACTGACCGACCATTCACATCGCCGTAGATTCGCTCAATTCATTCAGTAACAGCCCGCTGGTTTTTCTGAAAAAATCATTGTTTCAGACGAAGCCCATTTTCACTTGTCAGGGTACGTCAACAAGAAAAATTGCCGCATTTGGGCTTCTGAAAATCCTAAAGCGATTATTGAGAAGCCTTTGCATGCTCAACGTGTCACTGTATGATGCGCTATGTGGTCTGGAGGCGTGATTGGGCCGTTTTTTTCGAAGATGAGGCTGGAAATGCGGTAACGGTCAATGGATCACGCTATCGCGAGATGTTAACATCTCAATTTTGGCCTATTATTGATGACATCGATATCACAAACATGTGGTTTCAACAGGACGGTGCCACATGTCACACAGCCAACGAAACGATCAATTTACTGCAAACCAAATTTCCCGATCGCATAATTTCACGAAATTCAGCTGTTAAATGGCCAGCCAGATCGTGTAATTTAACATCACTGGATTATTTTTTGTGGGGCTATGTTAAGGACAGAGTCTATACGGAGCCAATCGAATCGATCGCGGCCTTAAAACCAAAATCCGTGACGTGATTAACGAAATAGACCCGCCATTTTGCCAAAAAGTGATTCAAAACTTTGATGAAAGAATCGACATCTGTCAGCGTGGTCGTGGTGGACATTTGCCAGATATCATTTTTCATTCATAATTGCCAAACTTTTCTCTTCGTAATACAATAAAAATTTGAATCATCTTCATCTAAACTCTTTGTTTTATTTTGTTTTAGAAAACAAAGTTCTTGTTGAAAAACCCATTACTATTATAAATAAAGTTTCCTTTTAGGTATTTTTATTTTATTTTGTATGTTTAACATGAGTACAAAATACGTTATTACGATTCAATAATGCACCATTACTTGAAAGTTTTCCATATAAGTACACCTATAAGTATTATACATTTTTGGAATGCTTATATGCTTCTCCAAATTTTTTGTAAAAAATATATTATATTAGTTAATTAACCAAAAAACAACCAATATAGTTTAAGATGGTATATTTTTACAACTTTTTTTTAACAAGAGATTTACCTCTTACCGATGCTTGCCTATGTCGAGGTATTTATTGCATTAAGATCTTCACACATTACTTTGTTTAGGGACATAAAAAATTTGCTCTTACTTGGAGGACCAAGTAAGAGCAAATTTTTGATACGGATCAAAAATACATCGCATCAAAATATTTTTTTCTAAAACTTTTATTTTTTATAAAATAGCATGGATGACGGTGTATTTATAAACTTATTGAAATGAGATATGTTAAACAGTTCTTAAGACTTAATTTACCTGTAGTCAAAAAATCATGTGTTGAATTTTACATCTATTATGGTCAAACTTTTACTTTCAGTTAAATTTTGTTAACTCAAAATTCTTTTTTCCTTCCTTCCTCTCTATATTTTTTATCATTCTCAGATATTCAATTCTTTGAAATAAAATTTGTGTCTGCTCAATTAAATTTTTTGTATTGGTTTCTGTTTTTTTCCAATTGCTCCAGATCCTTGGAAATATAGGTCACCTGTAACTTCCTTCGCAACTTGCCTTACCATAGACAAGTTGCGAATTCCACGTCACTCAAAAAGAATTTTTGAGTGACGTGGAATTGTGGATGGTTCTTTTTATAACACCCTAGTCAAAACTGTCAATGTCAGTTATTGGTTTTTGTTTGATTATTTTATTTTTGCCGGGAATTCGGAAGACAGTAAGAAATTCCGAATCTTTTGAACTTTTTACAATTCGTCTCGCTGTAGACTCGCAACATTTTGCTGCCTCTGCGGTCCGTTTCATACATTGTTTTAAATTATCAACTGCATTATTATCAGCCTCTTTCTTCATAAAACAATATACGTCATATTAAATCATTTTTCTCACTTTTCTATGTAAAACCATTTCGTAATTAAAAACTTTTGTGGGCGATGGTATTTTGAGAACGGACGTATAAAATGTGTAACGTGGACACAGCGCGGTAAGCAAAGGTCGACTGACGAAGCGAACCAATAGCGCACCGGCAAGCATGCGGCGCGTGACTCGCCCGCCCCGCACACCTCATACCACCAAATAGACAGATAAGGCCGGTCAAATACATACGGAATTCCGTTTCGGGATTCCGATTCGGGATTCCGTGAATGCATCACATACATACGTTTATTTGCGTTCGGAATAGCAAGTGTCAGTTGAGAGACGTTAGCCATTGAGTCTAGACATTCTGCCAGCGAATAATGACGACGATTTTCTAATTGTGATTCCATTGTTGCTGTATCGTTCTTAACCTTTTGACCGCCAAAGTCGTCTATACTTGACAATCACCTGCGGGCCCTGAGCGCCAACGACGTCTTTAGTTGACAAAAAACCCGGCCCAAAAAAATATGAAATATACATATTGGAAAACTATTACTTGTATTTTTATTCCACACTCCTCAAAAAAGAATAACCCAGCAATATGTGAGTATAAAAAACAAGTCTCCTAGAGCCACAAGTACTAAGAAACACTGAACTAAAAAAATGGATTTTTCTCTAAGCAAATACTATGTCCAGCACGCCAAAGTCGTCTATAGTAGACCGCTAGTGTTGTACGCGGGAGGCAAGGATTTCTTGATATCCAAAATTCAGCTCAAACTTGTTATTTTTTATTTTATTATTATTATTGATATTCGAATAAAGCAAATGGTTAGTAACATAGAACTATAATTAGCTACATGAATTATAAAAATGTTATCAAATCTTCTTCACATAATAAATCTAATATATTAACTCTGGCGAATCAGTTCACTGGGCGCCGTGGTCAAGTATAGACGACACCCTGATGACGTCATAAGCGATTAGCGAGAAAAGTAGTGCAGTGCAACATGAACGATTCTGACTGAAGACTTGAAGATTTTAATTAACAGTGGTAGAGCCACGCGGCAGCTTTTATTGTCGCACGGATGGGCCGGCTCGAACCGGGGTAGTACCACGACCTCACAGAAAACCAGCGTGAAGTAGAGGTTTACCTCTGCGTTTCGCTTGGTGAGTGCAGGTGGCCGGAGGCCCTTTTTACTGGAAATGAGGCATTCCATCTTAGTCCTCACGGGTGACAACGCATCTACATTTTGATTTGTAACAGAGGATAGATGTAGATGTCTATGGGCCGCAGCAACCACTTACCATCAGGTGGACTGTGTGCTCGTTTGTCACCCTTATCCTATAAAAAAAAAAAAAAAAAATACGATTCCTTCATTAAAAATGGTAAAACTTTCTGATAGAACGCGACAAAGTAATAAAAAATCTGTAGCAAAAATAAAATCAAATAACTTTTATGGAGACAGGAGAACTGTTAATATATTAGCTTCTATTCTAAACGATCTTCCAGAAAACCTTAAGGACGAATTGACAGAAAAAACTTAAAATATAAAATTAAGCATTATGTACTAGAAAACCTGAATTGTCTTCCTTAATAAATTCTCAAATGATATTAAATCTATATGTATATATATGTGTATATGTATATATGTGTGTGTGTGTGTGTGTGTGTGTGTGTGTGTGTGTGTATGTGTGTATATATATAGGTATATATAAAATTATTTTATTAAATAATAATTTTAAAAAAAAATTGCTATAGAAATCAGCCTGTATATGTATGGTATACCGTACACGCTCATCGCGGTAAACTAGCGAAACCTGTTTGTCGTCATGTCACTAATACAATGAATAGGTTGTTAGTTGTTATCATACTTAACTTTATCAATTATACGATGGTAGTTATTAAAAATAATATATTTATGCGTATAGACGTCTGCAAGCACCAATACAAACCGTTTTGCGGTTTAATGGTGCTGTATAGTAACTATGCACTATTATAATATGTTTTATGTATCATTAAATAAATAAAAAACCTACTGCGAATAATTATATACAATTGTTGATTAGTGAATAATTATGTACCTTTTTTATTTGAATAATATAAAATTAAAAATAATAAATGTGTTTGTTTTTTACTTAAGGTATGAAGAGCAATTTTTCATTTTGTGTTTTGCGATTTTTTTTCCGAATCTCAAAATCATCTGGCAGCATTAGCGTCATATCAAACCCCCATTGTCAGAAGAGCGTAAGACTTTTCTTCTGTGCTTCACTTGGCCTACGCCTCCCCCGACACATAAAATATTTTGAATCGATGTCTGTATATTTTGATTAGATCGATTTCAAAATCGATACACAACATGCGACACGGCCACATCTCTAAGAAAGTTTCAAAAAGGAAAGTCAGCTACGCCGTTGTGGTCCAGTCGTGACAGTGACGTCATCACGATGGATAGTAATGCTGTGGTTTACTACTATTTTATTGATATTGTTTGCTTTTTATTTATGTACACAGTACATATATAAAAAGAGTGGAAGACAGCACAAGATTAAATAAAACATACCAGATTATAAAGAGTCATTTGTTGCATAAAAAACCAACAAAAACAAGTTATTTTGTGTTATCGATATATCAACTCTTAGCAACACTATTTTTTTCGTAGGTATTTTTGTTTACTTTTGGCTTTGGCGTACAGGACACGGCACTGCGTTTTTGTCGTGGCGGTCAAAAGGTTAATAGGTGCATCTCCTTATCACCCTAAGCTTGCAATATAGTCAATATTATGTAAAAAGATCTATCTATCCAGAGATATTTTTTAAATATGGATGTCTGTAAACTCTTTCGACGAATTATTAAAATAATAAAATGAAATGTTACGAAAGCTATACACATATAAGATTAAATGTAAAAACATACTTAAGCACACCTACTCGCTTCGGTCGTGCGATGAACATTGAGCGCGTTCGGTACGGAATTTACGAATGTGTGTTGAGACTCATACAAAATCTATGAAAGACTTGCGTTCGGAGCGGCTTTTTTCCGTTCGGGATTCCGAACGCACAAGCGGTCATGCGGAATCTCGAATCGGAGAAAATTCCGTACGGAGAATTACCATACCTGTGTGGCGGGTCATAGATTTTATATGGACTTGCTGCGTTTGGAATTCCGAATCGGAATATCGAAACTGAATCACGAAACGGAATCACGAAACGGAATCCCGAAACGTAATTCCGTGTGTATGTGGCCGGCCTAAATCGCCTAATGCGCAGATTGACCGTCAGCGTTCTTCTTACATGCCGCGACATGTAGTACCAACGTGTTCGCCAACAGAGGCAACTGTGGCAAATATCCCCCCTATGTGGAAATGTACGGAGAGGGCTACGTTCAGCAGTGGACTGTTGATAAATTGTAATGGTTAAATTATAAATTTAGAAAAACTATAATTTAATTATATTTCTATATGTAATTTTTTTAGTGCATGCAGGCATAAATTATTGCAACAAATGTATGTACTCATATCTTACTGCTATGCCCTTCTATTGATACAAATTGAAATTCTTAGAAATACAGACAAAAACTTACAGTTATTTTATGTATAACACCTCCTGGTGGTAGAAAAGAACTCAACAAGACCATAATATCTGTTGCTTTAATGTTGTCCCAATCCATGTTGCATATTGCTATTCTAAATCATAAATTAAATCAATTAGTCAATATTTTAAATGTTATAAAACATCCCTATGCATTATAGAGTGATACATTACAAAATTCATGTCGAGAATCAAAAGATATTCGACCATTACGCATTGTGGTTATCAAGAAAAGCCAAAATAAATTCAGTTTCAAAAATTTTACTATTTTTTTCCTATTATCTTAACTTTGTTTTTCTCATATTTGACACTAACATCATCATCTTCATCATTACAGCTGCATAATTCTTCTGTTGAACATAGGTCTGTACAAAGGAATGCCACAAAGCACAGTCTGAGCCACCTGCATTCATCAACTACCTGCATCCATGTTGACACTAACATCACATCAAAAATTAATTATTCTTATATACACATATAAGATCACTGGAGTTAACAATTATTTTATGCCATAATGATGCAAAAAGCTATCTAAATAATATAGGCACAACTTGGCCAAAACAATAAGGCACATGATAGGAATGTGGTTTTAGCGCCCGCACTCAGCCTCTATCCCCGCGCTTCCTCTAGTGACCAATCACCGTTGCGGTGTTCCCTCCCTAGTTCTAATGACGTCTTAGCTCTCATACGCCTAATTGTTTTGGTCATGTAGTACAGATGTTGTATCTTATTCTATTTCAAACACTAATGTTCCATAGTCTGATGAAGTCTATAATCTGTGATCACATCAGATTTCACATGGCGTCACTTGATTTCAAAATAAATACATATTCTCAACTATGAAAAATAACTAGCAATCTTCTATGTCAGAGTATGAGTCAACATTACATTTACTTATAAAGAGCTGAAAGAATAATCACTAATTTATCTCAGCTCCTCACAAATTTCAAAAAACTTTCTATTTAACAAATCGGTAACAGATAAACAGCTCAAAAACTCTCATAAAATCAAGCTTAAATCAAAGAAACTAACATTGCAGTTTGATGCTATGACAGCATATGACTAAAATTATTTATTTCACAATTATACTCTTATAAGAACTGGGTCTCTCTCTAATGTGTCAGTTATGGTCACTGGAACAATGACCATAACTGGAGGTTAAGGGCTTGCTGTAAATTGCCACTATATTTCTTGAGCTACATATTATCTGTGGTTTGTAGGGTGATGCAAAGAATTAAAAGCAGTGTGACTTGCTTAATTTGCCATCAAGTTGCCACATTAAAAGTTATAACTAAAGGTTATAGTATAATATGTTTGATCCACCTAGCAGTGTAGAAACCAACAGTTAAGTATTAAATGTAATATATTCTAACCTCCTGGTAGATTCATCAGTAGTCTCAGCATCAGCATCTAGTTCACCCCATTCATGCTCTAAGTCACTGTCTTGATCTTCCTCACTACTTTCCTCATCACTTGAACTATCAGTTAGAAGTACTCCTACATAAACAAAATAGACATTTAGGTATTTTCATTAATTTATTAATCACAGTTTATCAAAAGTTCACTGCTGAACATATACCTTCCCCACAGGTTGATGGGGTCCCACATATATGCAACAAATGAAACCACAAATAATAATAGTCCATAGAAGTGTAGAAAAATTAAATATTAAATTAAAACCCGTAAAATAAAAAAGTTAAATTTTCAAACAAAATAAATATTAAAATAAATTCAGTAAAAGTAAACACTCTGTTTAGACTAAGTACCTTAACCCCTTGGAAGAGTGGCATTGTTGCACGCGAGTGGCATGGCGGTTGGCGCCAGGCAGCGTTATTGTCGGCACGGCTTTTGGTTCGTTGTACAATGTGCGACGAAATAAAAACTTACTAACTAAACTGTTTAGGTATTTTACCGCCACTTTTTTATTTCGCGAAAATGGAACTGAACGATATAAATATTATTGCATATTAGTAGCAAAATTTAACTAATGGAACCCTAAATTTTTAAATTTTCAAAATGTCCGCCACGTTCTTGAAAGTACCCAGCGGCAGTAAGACTCTCTAATTGGCTTATCACGGGGCAGCAGTGCCTGCACCTTAACATATTTATAAGAATGTAGTTTGTTCCTTTTCAGCACTCGGTGTATTGTTCTATGCCTCACTCTAAACATACGCCCAGCTTGTCTAAGGCTGCAGGTTGGATTCCGATCGAAATGGTTTAAGACTCGTTGTTCGAACGAGGGTGGAAAGTGACGCAGAGCAACTCCTTCATGAGTGTTGTACACTATGCGCTGATTTTCCCTGATTCTTTGGACAGCACCTAAGTCCGGACGCTAGTAGGGCAGACGCGAGTTGCGCCGTATCTCTCACGATAAGTACACGCAGAGTTAACGCTGAATTTTGGCAGCATTCGCCATAAAATAAAACCATGTCTGGTATACTCTGCCGCACTGTAAAAATGCTGTTGTCTTGGCATTTTGCGCTAACAGACGCGTACACACAAAGGTAAAAACCAAACAAACTTAAATACATTATTTACACAGACAAAGTCAATTAGCTAATAAGTTTCCACTTCACTGTAAAAAAAATTGTTTGACTAATTGTATTTATCTTACGAAAAATAAATAACTTGGAGCAATGCGCACAAGCAGCGAAACACACATACACTAGACTACATTAGCGGTGAACTGAAATCGAAAGTTCCAAATTCCAAAATGCTGAAAATAATAAAAGTAATAAATAGGGCGGCCACAAGGTGCAATTATCGTTTATCGATACTTTTATTTTTACACTTACTTGCCTACTACATTTGAATACAAGTAATTATTGATTATTAAACAAAAAGTTTATTTTTGTACAATTAAACTTACGAAACTACCGTTTTGTGACTTTCTAGGAAACGGGTAAGTAAGTATGACTTTTTTAATTGGTTGTTTTTATGGGTTTTTATCATAAGAACACGATAATTCTAAAAAAACCATGCCCTAAGTGTTTAAAGCTAAACATTTTTTTTATTTATCGATTATTACTCTAATTGTCGATAACAGGTGTCCTACCCTACCTACCTTATTTAGACTCAGTCCATAGAGATGATAGTATAACAATAATAATAATAATAACAATAAAAAAAAAAAATAAGACTAGTGTTAGTATATGAGTTCTTTTTCTTTATATTCTTAATTTAACAAATAAACCATCCCGCGTACATTACATACTTAACCAATGCCTCATAATGGCTGAGTCCCACCTATCAGCAAGTGTGATTAGGATGCTGTTGGTAGAGTTACGCAGACGACTCAGTAACGAAGCAGACCTTTTATGAATAACGGCATGAAAGCCATCCGTGTGTGCCTCAGCGAACATGGCAGAGGTACTACAATAACGCGGCAATCCCAACAGCACCCTGAATCCATTATTATATTGGACACGCAGGATGTTGTATGCCCGCTGCGTATATCTAACCCACAAGTTGCATGTGTAAAAGCACTGACAATACGCTTTAAAAAGTGTTACTTTTACTTTTTTAGTACATCGTGCAAACCTGTGGGCCAGCATATTACAGCGAACAGCCAACGCCCTGCGTCCCCTTTCTATATCTAAGTCATTGTTTAAGTCCTCTGTTACCCAGTGGCCTAGGTACTTAAATTTGACGACTCTCTTTAAAGGACTATCACAGAGTTTAACAGTAAGCATGGTGAGCTGCCTTTTAGTGTCTGAGTTAAAAACCATAAGCTCGCTCTTTGTTACATTATATTTGAGCCCATGGGCCTTTGCATAGGATTCACAGATCCCTAGCAGCCTTCTGAGTGCACCTATCGTGGGAGTCAGCAGCACCATATCATCTGCATAGCTTATATTATTTATACAAATTCCGTCCATAGAACAACCGACTTTAGTGCTGCTGAGCTCCACAATCAACTGTTTTATGTATAGGTTGAAAAGCGTAGGCGAACTCAACCCTCCTTGTCTGACCCCACACTCCAGCCCATACCTCTCAGAAAAGTTACTACCCCATCGAACATAGTTTATTTGGTTACTATACCAATATTTAAACACGGAAATAATCTCCTGGGGCAAATTAGTCTCCTTCTGTAACTTTCGCCATAAGATATATTTAGCATTGTTGCCATGCTTGAAAGGCGGACTGGCATTTTGTTAAATTTTATGAGCATTTTCAGATAAAGTTAAAAGGCCCTGTAAATATAGAAGTATGGCAAAAAAATACAGATGTATGTGTACGTCTCTAAGTACCTTATACATATTACCAATATTGTATATTCATAAACAACACATTTAATTACATTAAGATATGTTAATAATTATTAGCACAAAGATTATTGATACTAATACATTCAGATAAAGTTATTAGCCCAGTAAATGTATCAGTAGAGCAAAAATAACAGATGATTTTCTTTATAAACATTGCATGGTGACTGGCATAAGAGCATTCATTACCCTATAGCTGCTACTTTATAAAAGGTTGGAAAGACCATCATAGATGGTTCCATCATTTTATATATAAAGTGTAACTTTAAATACATATAAAATGATGCCTATATATGTCCCACTGCTAGACACAGGCCTCCTCTCATTTCTGAGAGGGTTTTAGGGCAAGGAAATGTCAGATTTCCAAGCGTACGGTAAATCAGCACTTAAAATGCAATTAACAATTTCATTAGTGCCGGCATGAAACAAAATCGGGTGACTCACATACTGTGTGTAAATTACAGCAAGTACTTAGCCCCTGAGCTACCCCAGCTCTCCGAGCTACCATGGCTGGTGACTAGAAGCAATGTCAAAGGTGCAAGACGCCTAGTACTAAAAACGCCAATGCACATTCAGTGTGGAAATTTGTGAAAAATGGATTTATATTTACATTATAAATACAAACATGAAAAAAATATAGATATTTTAGAAATCAATTTTTTGGGAATCGATACATCAGCTTACAATTTAAATCTATTTAAAAAATCGATCTTTTTCGGAAAGAATCGACATCCCTACTGACAAAAACAATAATAAAATGGCGTCAGTTTTATTGTAGGATTAGACATAAAGAATGTAAGAATAATTGATTTTCAATAACTTTTTCTCAAAAATTACACGCTTCCGCATATTGTAACTTTGTATGGGTGCTTATAATAGTGTAACTTTTCTGTAAAAATATGTATCAACCCCCAACTCGATGGGTGTCAATGGAAAGTCGTACCAATAAAAGACCTCCTAATATACTATAACAATATTACCTTCACCACGAGCATAATCAACATCCAAGTCCAGCAATCGCTGCTTTGTTTTTTTATCTAATTTACCACGAGTTAAATTATCATTAGCGAATTTTGGTTGTTTCTGAACTTCGTCTTCATCTACACTTGGTACTCTTTTGACAAAACGTCCTCGAGTTTCAGTCTCTTGATTATCGTTTTCAGATTCTTCGTCTGAGCTTTCACTAGAGTCGTCAATATCGTAATATTTTCTTAAATTTTCAGTAGAAGTTTCATTAATGGGCCGCCCGCGTTTATCGACTGTATACTTCACTTTAAACTTGTCATCTTCAAACATCGACTGAAATCTTTTATCAATTTTAACTTTTCTCTCATGCTTAGGTATTTGTTTATATCGGGGATCATTAAGATATTTAGCAAAACGGCTATCTTTCAGTATATCGCCCATTATTTTGTAGCTTCACTTCACTTTATATTATATTTCTAAAAAAATAGGAAAATATGAGAAAATTATTTTCCTAAAATAATAACCTATTTACAACACATGTAGGTACTAAACTAAAGTGACAGCTGTCAAATACCTTTGACTAGTCTTGGGTAATCGCGAACGACCTAGGTGGGAAGAGCGTACTTTTAGGTGAACTATGCGAACTAGTTCATCGACAATCACGCTCTTAGTTCTTTAATTATTTATTTTTCTTGCGTCCACTCTATTATGGAGTGGCACTGCATGGCTAACCGACTGATTTATTTTTATTCCTACCGTTCTTACCAGAGTGTCTTATTAAAGTATATAATTTATAGTCTATAGTTAAAGTTTTATTAGTGCACAATTCACAACAAATAACAAAAATATTGCTGGCTCACAATATTAATATGAAAGTGATAGTAAGCAGTACATAAATACCGTATAGTTCACAATTCGATTTTACGGTAAGTTTATTCAAAATTAATATTTTACATTTCTTTTTCTACTAATTTTATTAAATAATCGAATACAGTGCAACCTCAATATAATGAAACTGAATGGAATTAGAAAGTATCCGTTATTATACCAAGTAATTCGTTATAATGAGGTTTGTTATATAGTGGTTAGGTGGAACTACAATGCTTTTTAACAAGGTAAGAAAACTTGTTAATAATGTCAACATTAAGTCAATAGTCATCTCCCTATCGTGTACGTGTTTGAACCTGCCAAGACATGATTTATTGTGGAATTAAGTGGGAATAATTAATAGGATATGTTATGTCAAGATTTCAAGTTGTTAAAATTGGTTAAAAAGAGGTAAATAATACCTTCTATATATATTCCGCAATAATTAAAAATTCGATATAAAGATGTTTCTGATAAAATTTATTCGTAATGTAGAGTTATATTTTGCATTAGCTATTACAGACAGTTCTAGGGGATTTTGAAAAATTCGTTAAACCGAGGAATTCGTTATATTGAGGTTTGTTATATAAAGGTTACACTGTGTTATTATGTTCTTGATAAGTATCATGCATATATGATACATTATGTAGTATATTACATACTAATTAAATCATTAATTTTTTTTAACGTAAATTCAATTAATTTTTATTTACTGACATTCAATAAACTCATCTTTTTTAATAAGATCTACTGAAAAATTAAAAAAAGAACTAACGAACTAAATGAGCGAACTAGTTCGCTATAGGACTACGAACTAAATTGAGCGCTCCCAATGGCGACCGACTATGCCCAAGATATGGAGTGTAGAGTAGAAGGAGAACCATCTTATAAGGAGCGAAGGTTGAAAAAGTGTCCTACTATTTACTGTAAATAGAGGTTCCAAAACCTACCACAATAGCGCTGGCGTCTGAAAAACTACGATATGAAAATAGCTGTTATGAACGGAGTGAAGTCAACTGAATTCAAATATTTCATGACTAGAGTAGTTAGTAAAACGCCAATATACAAAATCTCAACTATTAACGTAGTACAAAACCAAGCGGATTGATCGGTCCTTATTTATTTCTCCATCTTACTCTAAATACTTTTGGCGCTTCTTTTTTAATTTATCCTATGCTACTGCAGCGCCACCCTTATTGGACACGTTTTTAGGGACACTTTTCATATACAGAGATGGTCCTCCTTCTACTCTACACTCCATAGCCCAAGACTACTTTTGACACATATCACATTTATTGCTTTAGAAATTCCTACTGAAAAACATTGAGTTATATGTACTACGTACTAGAGAAGCCATTCCTAACAAAAATTGTGTCCTACTCTATGTTATATATTAGTCTATGCTTGCGCTAGCACTTCTTACTAGTTTGTGGTCTATGCTCTATGTCTTCGCGCATGCGCGGGTGTAGTAGTCGCGCATGTGAGAAGACTTTAATTTAATATAAAATAAGATATTAATATAAAATAAATATAAGAATTTAATATAAAATATCTTAATTTAATCTAAACAAACATATTTCTAAATAAAATGTAATAATAATTATTTTATGGAATTCACAAATCTTCAATTTACGCAATATTTAGTTTGTATGGATTGCACTACAGTTGAACATAGTCAACAAAGAGAATATAATCACTACGTTTAAGAGGCGGGACTTCCATAGTAAAAATTAATGCATGAAATTACGCCAAGCTACTCTACCAACATCAAGATATGACATTTAGTTTTGAGAAACAGCGCTGACAACATTGACGAATTACAATAGTGCTGTAAATGTCTATCCTCGAATAATTTTATCGATATAAGCTTTATCGATACATTGTTTATCGATATTTTTACTTAAGAAAAGTTAGATCTCTATACTGAATTATTTGTATGAGAAATAATTTTTTTAACGTGTGGATTGAGTAAAAATGCCGATGAGGATAAGAAATCAATGTATTTTACACACAGCAATTTGTAATTATATCTCTACAATTAGGTACAAAAATATGTATAAAGAAAATATAAAATAAAAAACGCACTTTTATACTAGTAATTAATTAAGTAAAAAATAAATGACGACTCTGTAGCGCAGTGGCTAAGCGTTTGGCTGCGGCATTGCAGGACCGAGGCTTCCTTCCCGCACTGAACAATTGTTGCTATGCTGTAAAATAAATAGTCTGCGTCTGGATGCTTGTTTTCACCGTTAGTTTTTTTTAAGGGTAAAAATATTGGGTTTTTAATACTGATTGGATTAAATTGCTTTTATGTGTAACAAATTCTATGTACAAATCGCTAGGCTTCTTCACAGAGGTACCTATGTACATACTATTCGCAGAGATCGTTTACTAATTGTCGCTCTCAAAATGAATGCTCATTATAGCTAATGTTTGTAGATGAAACTATAAAAAAAATTATTTATAACCAGGTAATTACAAATAACTTTGAGTTTATTTATATAATCGAATTCTTACCAAAATGTGACTTTAGAGGTATATTATCTGTTACGGCCAACAGCTGCCCTGCCTAAACAGGAGTTGAATCCTTCGCGGCCCATAGACGAAGGAGCCACGGGCAGATGCAGGTCGGGCGTTCCTACGCCGAGGGTCAAAAGTTTCTAATGAACACGCGAGGGGAAAGGTCACTAGAAGAAATGCACTTACCTGCCTCAGGAGCGCAGACGGTTCTCCTAGACCGGCCCGGCTGATGGAAGTTGTGCTTGGTGTATGCGGTGTTGTGAGTGTAGGTGTAATTGTGTGAGCTGGTATGTTGACGGGAACCGATCTGGATGACTCGACGACGTCCGGGAGAAGGCACGCGCTGGTATCCCCGGAACTTCACCCTTCTGGAGGCACTCGTAAGGGGTTGTCACCAAATGGGACGGCTACTCTGGTAGTCCTTCAGATGTAAATCACTTTGATAGTTGCGCGCGAATTTCACCGAGTTAGTACGTTCTAATAACGATACCGTTATTGCAACGATTTACGCGGGTTGTTTCTTTAGCAAGTTTAGGCGCGAAAAAATACGTCCGTATAGTTCGCAAGAAAAATCCTACTACCTCGCGAGAAGAGCCACACCGACTCGTTGCGGCGGCCGGGGGGGGCGGGGGAGAGGGAAGGTGCCCTTGATATCGAGGCCAAAAGCGCGCGTTAAATCCTGCGTTTTTATTGCAAATTTTCCTGCCTAGACAACCCCCCGCCCCGGACATAAGGCATTAAGTCCGCGAGTAGATTGGCAAACGGGACAAGGTCGCGACGGCCCGTTGCAAGACCGAATCTCCGACCAAAACCTCGGCCACTCTAGGCACCCCATCCGTTCCATACGACAATTTAACAATGCGCCCACGGCGCCAATACAAAGGTAGCGCGTTTGGTTCTTTAATCAACACGAGGTCTCCCACCCGAGGAGGCTCCGTCTTGTCAGACCACTTAACGCGCTGCTGCAAAAGATGTAGGTACTCCAGAGACCATCGGTGCCAAAAGCGTTGAGTCATCTGTTGCAGCAGGGCAAACCTGCTAAGCCGTGAAGCACTCGTTTCCCTGAAGGGATACTCGGGCAGAGCGTTAAGAGGCTGGCCAATCAGGAAGTGTCCCGGGGTTAGAACCTCCAAATCATTCGGGTCAGAGGAGAGGGGACAGAGGGGCCGAGAGTTGAGTACCGCCTCAATTTTACAGAATACAGTGGCGAGCTCCTCAAACGTCAAAATGGCTTCACCAATAACGCGACGGAGATGCGTTTTGGCAACCTTAACCACCGCCTCGAAAATACCGCCCCAGTGGGGACACGCCGGAGGGTCGAATTTCCACTGGATGCCCCTTTTCGACATAGCATTTCCTAAATAAGTCCGGTGGCTGGACAGAAATTCGACAACCTCCTTGAGATACCTATCCGTGCCCTTATAATTCGTCCCGCAGTCAGACCGGATCAAGTCCGGCAAGCCGCGCCGCGACACGAAACGGCCAAGCGTGGCCAAGAAGGCTTCCGTGCTGAGGGCGCTCACCAGTTCCAAGTGAACGGCTTTAGTGGAGAGGCACACGAAGACGCAAAGATAGGCCTTACATGAACGCGCGTTACGAAGGTTAGAGGACTTGACGAGGAAGGGGCCAGCGAAGTCTGTTCCGACCCCAGCGAATGGTCGGATGGCCCTGACGCGGTCGGGCGGCAAGTCACCCATAAGAGGCTGCGATATGGGGGCCTTCAGTTTATAACAGGGGATGCACTTAAAGATGACGCTCCGAATGGTGCGACGACCAGACAAAATCCAAAACTCCCGCTGCAAAATAGCCGACAGGGCGTTACACCCAGCGTGGGCATTCCTAACATGGTGGTGGGTTACCAGCAACCGGACAAGGGCGCCGTCCTTAGGGAGCAGCAACGGGTGTCGAGCCCCGCACGGCAGTTGAGAGTTTTTCAAACGTCCGCCCACGCGCAGCATCCCAGCGTCGTCCAGAAAGAGGTTCAGGCGGGCCAGAGCGCCCTTGATAACGGAGCCACGCTTCAAGTGTTCGATAACGGGCTCAAAATGCTCCGT